AATAGCTCAGTTTGAAGATGAGAAAAAAAATGGCACAGTAGTTATTCATTACAATTGAAACCGACAATACTAGCTCTCTCAATGTTTTCCTGCTGCAGTATACACAAGAAATTAGATACCTCCGGTGATAGCTCATTACAGCACTGCAGCACTGATTTTAAAGGAGGGGACAGAGGAGGTGGAAGAGAGAAGGGCTTTTCTTTGTTTGCTTATATTATGGTAGAAACTCCAAGTAAGGGGGCCAGGATGGCTCACAACTGTAATCCCAGCACTGTGGGAGGCTGAGGCGGGCAGATTACCTGAGGTCGGGAGTTCGTGACCATCCTGGCCAACATGGTGAAACCCTCTACTAAAAATATGAAAATTAGTCTGGCGTGGTGGTGCACGTCTGTAATCCCAGCTACTTGGGAGGCTGAGGCACGAGAATTGCTTGAACCTGGGAGGCGGAGGTAGCAGTGAGCTGAGACTACGCCACTGCACTCCAGCCTGGGTGACAGAGGGAGACTCTGTCTCAAAAAAAAAGAAATTCCAAGTAAGGGACTCTGAATTTACTGACACTCTCCATTTCGTTTGTAAACAGGTTCACTAATGGTCACGTACACCGACCTCTTAAGGCCAACAGGCTACTCTTAGTCGCCCAGGCACTTCTGTTCTTACCAGCTGAGTTGCTTACTTGCCAAGAGTCAGCTGTGTTTATTCTTAAATTTGTTTATGACAGGTTGATTGTAATGTAATAATCTAGTTTAACTATATACCACCTAAATCAATAAAAAGAGCACAAATTGATGGTCAGTTCTATAAAAATTCAGTTAAATTCTTGAGAAATATTGAGAAAGGCAGTCAGAAATAACTGCTGTCTACTTAGGTGGATGCCACAATGTGAAAGATAGAGAAAAAAACCTATACAAATTCTGCAACCAACTTGCTTCATAAGTATCTTTAACTTCTTAATCCACTTTAAGGAAACAAACTGGAAACCAAAGGAGGTGCATAATATTGTAGATTATGAAAGAAAGATAACCACAGGACTCCAATCGGCAGAAACCATGCTCAAAAATAGGTGTTGGTCTCACATCAAAAGATTGGTAAGTGCACATTTACACATTTTAAGGTTTAATAAAATGTTTGAAGAAAGATTTTTTGAATGATTACTCATTTTATCTGACTTTAAAACTTTTTAAAAATGTTATTATAAATTGACAACTTATAATCATATATTTATGGGGTACAAAGTGAGGTTATGATTTATGAATATAATGTGAAATAACTAAAGCAAGCTAATTAACATGTATGTAACTTCAAATACTTAGATTTTTTTGGTGAGAATATTTGAAATTTACAAGTTTGAAATGTATGTTCCCATTTCCCCTACCCTCCAGCCTCTGTAACCACCATTCTACTCTCTGCTTCTATGAGTTTGATTGTTTTAGATTCCACAAATAAGTGAGAATATGCAGTATGTCTTACTGTGCCTGGCTTATTTCACTTAGCATTATGTTTTCCAATTCCATCCATGTTGTTGCAAACTACATAATTTCTTTTTAAGTGCTGAATAGTATTCCATTGTGTATACGTACCACATTAAAAAAACCCATTCATCTGCTGATAGACACTTAGGATAATTCCGTAACCTGGTTACTGTGAGTAGTGCTGCAATAAACATGGGAGTGCAGACATCTCTTCGACATACTGATTTTAAATCTTTTGGGTAAATACTCAGAGGTGGAACTGCTTGATCATATGGTAATTTTATTTTTAGTTTTTTTGAAACTTCCATGCAGTTTTCTGTAATGACTGTCCTAATTTACATTTCCAGTAACTTTTTAAAAAAATTAAATTAACCAACTACCAGTCCTGGTTGTTGGATAAGAACGCTTCCATTTAATATATACTTTTTTATTATCCTTTTTGTAAATGCAAAGTGTAAATGGCAACTTTTCTACTTGACCAATTTAAAAAACTAAGAGACCTGCTGATAGGTTAGCCAAACCAAAATATACTCCACATATGACAGTAAGTCTATGCAAGCTCAACCTACCTCATGTTCCAAAAATAGAGCTTTTAGTTGTCCTTTGGACCAAAAATCCATGGCATATGCTAGCAGCTTCATGGAGACCATATTGATTCTGAGAAAATTTCCAACAAACACAACTCTGTCTATATTCTGGAAAAAATGTTAAAGAAAACAATTGAATCATGACATAAAAATAGCATTTGGCAAAGACCCAATGTTATGTATGTCTCTGTACAGAATCTTGAAGAGTAAATTTTCCTTGTTTTTTTTTTGGTGGAATTATTTCTACGTTGCCAAAATGAAGTTAAACCAACCTTATAGTACATTCCACAAGAACAAGAGGCTGAGATTTTTGCTGGGCAAGGCAGAAACTGATATTGGACTTATTTGCAGGTGCTATGTCAGACTGCCTTAGGTCTGACATGAAATTAAGCTCCCAAAACACACCCATATGTACAGTTTTAACTGGAGTTCAAGTTCAGCTAAATTTTCATGTGTAATACCTCAATCCCCCAACTTGTAGGTATAAAATACTCTTATAACCAACTCACAGATAAAATGGCTATGGTATGGTTTATTTGTGTAATGAATAATGCTCAATTTGCTCTGTGCTGGACACTGGAAATACAAAGAAGAAAGAATACTCAATCTCTGCCCTCAGGATATATGGTGGAATATCCTGTTTGGTCAACAGATGAGTTAAAATATGGTCACAAAAAATACTCTATTTTTGTCATCATGGCTCTGCATTCTAAACATACACTTATAAACATTCCTCTCCTATCCTGTTCATGCAGACATTCTTCAAATCCCATAAGCTTCCAGCTCCAGTGCACTCGTTATACTTCCCACTCCCCCAGATATTTCTTAAGTTCAAACCAGAGCTCAGCCTGTCTACCATGCAGAGGCTGCTCACCACTCACTCACTCACTCACTCAGAGCCAGTTGCTATGGTCACTCACTCATATCAAAGGCAAGAGAGTCTTTGAAGCTGGTATTATTTTCTGCTTAGTTTATCGAGAGTAATCACGGTCTGGGAACATTACCTTTTAACTGCCTCAAGTTTTAACAATGAATGTTCATGAACCCATTAGCCACTGAACATTTTCCGTGGGTGGAGGAGTGGAGGTAGTTTTAATAAATTTTCATTAAGAAAAAAAAAAACTAGTCACCCAAACTAAGAGGTGGCAAGGAACACTCTAAGAAACTCAGGCTAAAAAGAAATTTAATTAAATTGAGGAGCTTTGCCCTTTCTCCCAAAACAAGGGAGTCCAAGGGAGGATTTGCTGAAAGCCCATTCTTGCATTACCCTAATAGAAAGTCAGAAGGAGTAGAAGTGGCATTAAAACTGGAAGAGCATTTCATGTTTCAAATAAATTCCAGGTGGGTCAAAGATGTTAAAAAAGGGTGG